TAATGAACCAAAGTGTGATGTGAACATGAGTGTGATGATGAATGTGAACTTGTACATATAGAAGAATATTAGTACGAATTTACCATGTCAAGTTTTGAACATTAAAAAGTACAATAGTATATTTAGAACCTTCCTAATTAAAGAATACTACAGTACTTGGCACATTTACGCAAGACGGCTAAACAATAATTATTAAAAAGAGGGCCTTGATTTATTGTAAAGTCTCTCCTATAATTACAAATATTATATTATAAAACACATATTTGTTGTTTAATTTAATTTTTTACTGTATATAATTGGAAACACCCCAGCGAAAAACAAAAATATTTCCGCCGACAAACAAAAGAGCCCTCGTTAAAACATTAACCGCGGAAAATGCAAAAACACAGCTTTGTTAACAGTTTCTAGCCGCCACTAACTGTGACAGCGTTAGCTTATGCTATTTCCACCGCAATGCCCACTACTTCCACTTCTTCCACGTTGGGGTTTGCTTGCTGTTTGAATTTATTTCTTAAAGTTCTGGAAATAGCAAAGAAATTATGTGGGCAACGACTTTGTCTCTTGGAAAAATCAACGACGCTGAAAGATACGGTGACCGGGTTTGGTGAGCGGGACAATTGAAACCGAGGAGAAGCAGAGGTTCTTACAGAGAGAATGGTCAAACGTTACTAACGGGAACCAGTCAATGGTCGATAAACCTCTCTCTTTCTTCTCTTTCTCTCCAAAATTCTGTGTCTTTGAGTTTCTGTCTCTGCATGTGGGTCTTTCAAAGGTTCTGAATTCCTGGTGGGTTTTTTTTAATCACCAAATAATTTGCTTAAAGGGTTGTGCTTTTTGAATTCTTCTGGGTCTTCATTTTACGAGTTTGCTGGAGAGTTAAATGGCGGTATGTGTTTCTCTTCTATGTTGTTTTTTATGGTCTGGTTTAGGTTAATTTCTGTTTGTTTGCTGATAAAGCTTAACAAGATAAAAAGGCAAGTGGGAATTCTATAATTTTCTGGTTTTATGCTTGTCATTTGGGTGTTGTCCCTGATTATGGGCTATAACACTGGAATCTGCGTTCTAAGAGTTAGAACATATGTGATTTTGTGTTCACTTTTTTTTTCTTTTTTTCTTTTTTTCTGTTTTTTGAGTTATTTATGTCACATAAATAGGATGATTGAATTTGTTTTCTTGTTTGTTGACCCTTATTATGTTTTTTGTTAGATTAGTAACATGTTGATTGCCAATGCTGGTTTTGAATCATCTGCTATTATGAAATGAAGCTCTGCATGGTGGTGAATCTGTTGATCTGGCCTGGGTTATTTTCTTTGTGGGTTTCTGATATTTGATGGTTTTGGAAGTATGAATTGAAGTTATTTTCACGGTGCATCAGCATCCCTTTTCATTTTAGCTTTATATATGATTACAAGATTAGTATTTGGTATCTTCTCGTTTCCTTTTTCTTCTTTCTTTCTTTTGATGGATTCGCTGAATGTTTTGAGAACAATTAGAGATACTAGAATGAGGCTAAATTACAACCTCACTAATCAGTATATCTATGTTAATGTTTTGGAGAGATTTGGGTAGAGAGCTTAGATTCGTGACACATTGCTGTCCTTCTGTATCTCGAAAAAGAAAAAGAAAGACCCTGAATCAAATGGGAAAAATAGACAAACTACGTAAAGAAACAGCATAAATCTGACTTGTTGATTGTCAATTATTGATCTTAAACAGTTCTGAATAGGAGGGTTATTCATGCCATATGCACTGTAAGTTGATCACATGTACTACTTGCTGTTACACCGGTGTTGTACTTTTTTTGACAATCAAAGGGGAGTGATAGTGATATATGTTGCATAATATCACAATTGCACATTTAAAGCTTATGATCTGCGTGCTATATTTGACATTTTGGTCATTGCAATGAAACAAATTAGTCAAAGCACCTCAGAGATATTGTTAAATACTTAACTGGTAGTGATTCTATTCTGAAAAACAAAATGTTATACTAGTCTCTAAATCTGTTTAATCTTTCAAATTTAATTTCATGCTAGGTGCTAAATCATTCTCCTTGGCCCTTTTTTTTTTTTTTTTGTAATATTGTGAATTAAGGTCAACGATAAACAGATTGGTTAATACAGGGAGTTAACTGAGTAGGAAATATACATAACGTCAGGTATTCGACTACTTTGTCTGCAATCATTAAACTCTACCATTAGTATGTACTTTTGTTCACATACTTGATGCAGTTATTCTCACTTGGTTTCTCATTGTATTTGGAGTCATATGGTACCTTGCTTGTTATGATTTCAAAACGCTTGGAGAAGGTTTTCCTCTCAAAACCTCCTCTCCGATTTATTTTCTTCTCTGACTGTTTTATCCTTTATTAGGAAATAAACATAATATATTTCCTTAGAAGCTTTGGAAAATTGTTTCATCATTTGATAATAGGAAACTTTGTTTGTCCTTTGAAGTGATCCACTTCATATTTCATATCTCCTGGAGCTACAATGAATATAAATTTGCTCACTATAGAAACTCCAAATAGTCCGGGTATAAGTATAATCATGATAGTAGGTTACCTGATAAACATTCCCATTGCTATACTTCCCAGCAAAAGAGAATCATTTAAATTTATCCTGATAGCTTTTCAGGGAGATCCAATCTGCAAATCTTCTAATTCCTTGTTTTAAAGAAATTTCTACAACTGAATGAGATTGCCTTTCAGATTTTGGTAATTATCATGAGTATCTTGCTTATTAATTTTTTTATGACCTCTTATATCAGAAAAACAATCTTCAGTTGAACATAAACTATTGACTTTTATTTTATTATTTAAATTCTGATTTTGGTGTCATTTTAACATTGCTTCCTCAAGGATGTGGACTTGACTGTCTTTCTTACACTCTAATATGTTTTTTTCTTATGAAGTTCAGCTATTTTGACATAGCAAACTATGTTTTGATCCATGTTGTGGTCATATTTTGACTGATAAAAGATGAGAAACATACAGATATTTATCTTCTCTCTTCCCCTCCCTAAATTAAGAACAATCTCCTTTCCTCCCATTTCATTTCATAGTTCCTTCTAGCTGGGGAACAAACTTCCCTGACTCCCTTTTGATGTTGATATAGAAGTTAGAACAAAGTTCTGTAGATGAAAATTTTCTAGGGGTTTGAGTATAAAATGCTTAGGCTTCTTGCTTATTGTTCATCTTTGGCTCTTCCCAAATCAAACAAAGTCATCATTCTCTTTCCCTGCCTACTAATGGGTTGCCCACAATCTGCAGCTAGCATAGCTCAAGCAGCCGAAGGTCAAGAATGCTTTGTAATTACTTGACCTCGGGGGCAAACAATCATCATTCTAGTTGAGATTGTTGACTTTAGATGTGAATTTTGAAAAGAAATGGTAATGCAGCTATAGGCCAAGGTCAAGTATTGAATTTGTCATCTTCTGCCACAAATTCATCATTTAATCATGTGTTTTGGAGTAATATCTTATATTTTTCCTTGGTGTAACTTGTTCTTCCCCTAAAGAACCTGTCTTCATTTGAAGTCTGTCTCTCTATTTTGTTTTTCTTTTGATGGCAATGTGGAGTCACCTTTAGGTATTAGGATCTTTTAATTGGCTTTCATATAGGATTCCATTGATTTTTCTCTGAAAAGACATAATATTTGTGTTTGTATCTTGTATTCCAGTAGAATATAACAAACTCTTTCTACCTTGGCAGCAACGTTCACATGTACCAGCTTTTGGCAACTGGGAAAGTGATGAAAATGTTCCTTATACAGTTTATTTTGATAAGGCCAGGAAGGGTCGAAATGCTGGGAAGATAACAAATCCAAATGATCCCCAAGAGAATCCAGAATTACTTTCTGATTTAGCAGTTAGAGCTTCTCCATCCAGAGCAAAAGCAGATCTTGAAGAAGAAGAAGTTGTACAGGCACCAGTCAGAAGGGGACATGATCACCACAGGAGCAGGGAAGATGGTGAGCTTAAACAGTTTGCCAACTCTCCAGCACGTAATGACAATATGCACCGCAGAACTTCTGGTGACCACCCACCTTCACGTTATGGACGTGGAGTAAGTTCTGGGGAAGCCACCAAACGAAGACAGAGTACCGGATCTGAGTACAGTATTGAGCGTTCGCCACTTCATCCTCAAGCAAGGGTTGCAGGGAGAGGTAGCATGGCATCACCAACATGGGAAGGAAAGGCTTCACATGATAGCAGCCATGGTACTCCTGGAAGATCAAGAATGAAACCTCGAGGGGATGACAGTGTAAATTCCTTTATCTTGTCTAGTATTTTATTGCCTGCAATAAGTAGCATATTCTTCAAATTTCAGTTGTGAATCAGGACAGATTTTCCGCAACCTTTTGCTGCATTTCCTCCTTCTCCTAGAAAATAGCTTTCCTTACAAAACTCATATTTAAACTTGACTTTGTTAACAACCTGAAGTTGTCTCTATAATTGACAACTAAGCCTAGTGCAGCATTTGTTGCTCATGTCCTTTTCATCTCGGGTCTTCGGTAGAGTTGTTTCTGACTGTAAATTCTGGCGTTGCAGCCTGATAAAGGTGCTGCTGTTCCAAAATTTGGCGATTGGAATGAGAATGACCCCACATCAGCTGACGGCTATACTCACATTTTCAACAAAGTGAGGGAAGAGAGGAACAATGGAGGAAGAGTACCGGGCATGCCATCTGAGCAATCCCCATACCCTGCTGTTCGGAAGCCTTCCAACAACAAGAGTGCTAAGGTATGCTCTTGATGGATTTTCTTTCCTCAACACGCAACTTTACTCCCATTGTTTTTGGTCTCAAAAGAACATATTATTCCTAATGTTGTATCTTCATTTATTCATTTTCCAGGGTTGCTGCTTTGGATGGTTCTGAATATGTGAATGGATTGTACGGAGTTTGGAATTCTGTAAATACATTAAAGTTCCCAAAGTAGAATAACTAGTCGGAAGTGCAGTATTTGTATTTACTTGTGTGCTTTTTATTTTTCTTGGGGAAATTTCTGTTTACTTATCTGTGGTTTTAAGCACATCACCTCTTAAGGTTTCAAAATGCGCACATAAAGACTTGAGGTTCCCATCACATACAGCAGGCAGCTTGTTTCATTAGAAGGCTAACAGGAAATGCAACTGAGAGTGTCATTTTTCACTCTGTTATTCTTTTAACGGCACAAGGCATCTTGTGCATGCTATGGAAACCTCAAGCTTTTTGTGTACATTTTGAAATCTCAGGGGATTATGTGCACCCCCAAAAATCACATGGTAATAAAGTGCAATTTTCTCTTCTTTTCTTTTTCCCCTTCTTTTTGTGATGATAAGCATTTTGATGGAAAAACAATGTCATTTTTTTGGCACCTTTGCTGTAATGCAACACTTCACTTTCTATTCTAATATATTGTGGTCTTTTCTGGATTTATTTTTGCATTCTAGAAAAATGTACTCTTCCTTTTACACCTTGGGGAAGTTATGTAAAATAGTCTTGTCTGGAAGTTGTAAAATTTTACAAAAATTAGAAAACTATCTTAACTTATTTGAGAATCTAGATTAAAGGAGCTGATTTTTAGTAAATAAATAATATAACAAAGAAAATAGAGAGGATAAGATGAAAATAAAAAGTTTGAAACTCATTTTTTCATTTAGTTTGCTAAATCATGTTAGTTTCTTGTGTGTTAAGCATGTTCTTCAAAACAAAATAGCTGTTTTTACTTCAAAAGTTGAAATTAGGCCACTGAAATTAGGCCCCTTCAACTTCTTTTGCCTTTGGTAGAAAATGAGTCTAACTTCAAAAAGTGAGAAGCTAAGAAATAAATTGGTAATGTATGAAAAAAAAAAGGCTTCATAATAGTTCATTTATTAATTGTTAATTTTTATCATTTTAATTTAAAAAAGTTTGTTTTCTTCTAAAATGGACTTTTTCTCTTTTCTTTTTTTCTTTTTTTTTTTTTGAACCTTCTAAAATGGTCTAGTAACTTCGAAAATCAATATTAACAAGGTCTACTCATAATTTCTTTATTAGTCTATCCATTAATTTCACTAATGAAAATACCCAACAGTACTTGTCGCTACACAATCTGACACAGTAGCAGTTAGCACCATGTATGATGGTGAGATTCTTTCTTTTTTGTCCCCTTATATCATTTACATGGCAGTTTTTGTAGTGCCATCTAAGCACTGACATCAATTTGCGTTAATTAAACTTTTTTTTTTTAAAGCAGTTTATAATTTGGGGGATTGGGCTAGGAGGGTTTTTTTTTAAGTGCTGGTAAAATTTGAAACCCCTATCAATTAACTTAAGTGCTTTTTAACCAACCAGGGGTTGGATCAAATGGTAAGCGATTTATTCCAGTTTAAGCAAGGTCTCGAGTTCAAGTCCTTGCGTATGCAGTAGCTCTCGCTGGGAGACTCACCCACCATTTTCAGATGCGCGACGCGGGTCGAGTCCGGATTAGTCGGGACGAAACCCCGGATACCGAGCGAGAAACAAAAAAAAAAAAAAAAAACTTAAGTGCTTTTAAGAGTTGAGGATGAACTACTTGTACTTAAAAATCTAGTTATAATTTGCGTTAATTAAGCTTGTTACAGCAGCATATTGATATGATTTTACCATTTTGTGGAAAAAAGGAAAAAAAAAAACTTCTTAAATTAAAAATAATAAAATATTAACATAAAAGTATTTTTGAAGTATATTAGGATTTAAATAATTTAGTAAGAATTTTTTGGTTAAAAATAAGAAATTTTAAATTTAAAAATCATTATATGTATATAGAGTAAAGTATAAAAGAAAAATGATTATCTTTCATCGTACAATAAAAATAAAAAAATATTTATACATGTTAGTTCATTAATAATATTTATATCTTTGCATATACATTCTTATACATTTTTCAATAAATCGACTTGAAAATCAGCATTATTAAATCTTAATAATTAATAAACTAATTGTTAAATTTACCCTTCCATTCTCCAAAACTATTTTATTGAATATATTTTTCAAAAAAAAAAAAAAAGGAAAAATCTTAAAAGGTACAAGTCCAACGTTGACTTTATCTGTTCATTTGTCCAGAAAGTTGTAGAGAATCCCAACTCTAACATGCCACTTCGACAAAATAGATTCATCCTAACCGTCCAATTATTAAATCATAGCATCGATGACAAAAAGATCACCAATCAAACGTATGTGTGGAGAAGTACAGATCTTAACCATGAGGCTGCTCTCACACTATTTTTCCTTCTCCCACCGTTTTCATCCCAATAGCGCCAACTTTTCGCGGTCTGCCAAAAATTTCAAATAATTTCGACGAAATTCTCAGAATTCAAATCCCAAATGCTAAAAACCCTTCAAACCAGCAAACCTCTCTCGTTCTCTCTCTTGATCTCTTCCCCTTCTCTATCTCAGAGAAGTAACGTCCGGCCATCGAAGCAACACGGCGAGAAAAATTTCTGAAATCCTGTTTGGATCCCACGAATCCCAGGTACCATACCCATCTTCCGAGCTTGAAAGTTCTTCCTTTTTTCCTTTCATTTGCTCAAAATTCCCTGTTTATTTATGGATTGTGTTGATATCGACTGAGCTAGATTATGTATCGAATTTGAATCAGTTTCTTGGCTGAATTTTAGATTTTATCTTTTTGTTTGAATCTAGGTCAAACTACGTGGAATAGTTGTTCTATTTTGGGTTTAATGCTTTATTGGTGAATGCCCAATATCCAATTTTTGGTTGGTGTATCCAATTGAGTAAGATGGTGAGGGAGCAAAGAATAGAGTCCTTTTATTCTCAGCTTCGTGAATCCGCCAAGGCATCAGCTCTTTCTCCTCTGCTGATATTCCCATCAACATCTGATGTAGACTCTCTTTGTGCTTTGAAGATTATATTTCATGTTCTTGAGTCTGATTCGGTTCGTTACTCGTGTTATCCGGTGTCTTCATTTCAAGAAATTCACAAGTACATTGGTGATGATCTGGGTTCTTCTTCAGATGAGCCAATTTCCATTCTTTTGATAAATTGGGGGTGCCACCGCGATTTGCGGAGGGATCTGAAGTTGGGTCCCGCTGCTCGTGTTTTTGTGGTTGATAGTCACAGGCCGATTCACTTGCACAATTTGAGTGACCAGAATGAGCAGGTGATTGTTCTTTATACCCATGATGATGAGCAGCAAGCTGATTTGGCATATGATTTTGATGTTATGGAGTTGGCTAATGCCAGCTATGGTCTTCATAATTCAGAGTTGTATAGTGAAAATGAAGATGACAGTGAAAGTGAGGATGAAGATGAGGATGAGGATGGCGAAGAAGAAGAGGGAGATGGGCCTAGGAAGAGGAGGAAGACATCTCAGGAGGATGAAGAAGAACCAAGTTCAAGGCGTTTTAAGAAATTAAAAAGGGGGTATTATCATATGGGTACTTTCCATGGTAAGCCATCAGGGTGTTTGATGTATGATTTGTCACATTGCTTGAGGAAGAACACAAATGAGCTGCTTTGGTTGGCTTGTGTTTCACTTACTGATCAGTTTGTTCATGAGAGGTTAACGGATGAGAGGTACCAAGCTGGGGTTATGGAACTTGAGCAACACATTAACAGCTCAGGAAATTTGGATGCAATCACTTCAGTGACCCTTAAAGATGGGACAAAGGTTCGAGCACCTGATTCCTCGAGAATTGCCTATGAAGAGGAACCGAGGCTTATGTTATTAAGGGAGTGGAATTTATTTGATTCAATGCTGTGTTCCTCATACATTGCCCCTAAATTGAAGACATGGAGTGATAACGGTATCAAAAAGCTTAAGCTTCTTCTTGCACAGATGGGATTTGCGCTTGTTGATTGCCAGCAGAAGTTTCAATACATGAATCATGAAGTAAAACGAAAGATGAAAGATGAGTTTGCACGGTTTTTACCCGAATATGGGCTTAACGATTTTTACTACAAGAGTTTCTTGCGTCTTCATGGTTATAGTTCGAAGGTTTCAGCTGCAGATGTGGTGCATGGTGTTACTGCTCTGCTGGAATCCTTTGTGGAATCTGACGGCTCTTGTGCTTCAAAGCAATTTGGTGTGGCTTATGATGCATTGTCCTTGAGCAATCTTGATAAGTTAAAAGATGGGATGCAACAGGCAATCAGAATACAAAGGGCCATTCTTAGACAAGGAAGTGCAGCAATAACCAAGCGTGGCTGTATCAGAAGTGGGAGAAAGTTCAGGTGGGTGAAACTTGAAGATTCAGTGGATGCAAAGCTGTTAGGATACCCACAGGCCCTGACCAAATTCTGCTACTTTCTAATGGATGCCTTAAAGGAGAAAGGAGCTAGAATGAAGCCTTTGCTCTGTGCTTGTGCATTACAAGCACCAGGAAAGGTACTAATTGTCGGAGTCTATGGAAAGCCTCGACTTGGAGCGGTTCAGGGGAATGCCTTTGGCATTGCATTCAGGAATGCAGCTGAGGAAACTGGAACTGGTTTCTTCCATGAACTCTTTGAATCTTCATGGATTGTTTTGGATGTTGATGCTGTTAATCCCTTCATGATAAGCTTAAGTGAAAAGCTTTAACTTGAGGAACTTAAATGTGTATCATTAGTTCTTATCAGTGTGTTGTTTAGAAAAAGTGCTTATTGATTTTTCAAATGATTCGTAAATAAAATTTTCAAGTGATTCATCAATCAATTTATATGATTCCCCTATCTATGTTAGTTATGGTATTTTGACTTAGTTGCATGTATATCTAATTTATGTATGGGTGGTACTACAAGGATAATTTTTTTATATTAATTTTTTATATGTAAATAAATAAATAAATATATTTAATATCATGAATTTTATATGAATTAAAAAAATTTATTATTTAAATAACATATTAAGTTATAAAAAATGTAAGACAAAAAAGTTATACAAAAAAATTTTTTTTTTTTAAATTTATTTATGTTTTTTTCCTCATCAAAGGAAACTTATTTATGGCAAAATTCTTCTTATTCATTCACAATAAGCTATCTATAGTGGGTTGTGACATTCCTGCGTCGTGCATGTGGGCTTTTAATTTGTCAACGAAACATTTCGAAGGGAAACTGATTCCGCAGGAGATCCTCACTGGAACTGAATTCCAGTGAACGATGCACCCACTAGTCCGTAACCATTTTCAACGATACGGTAGATTTTAAGGCCAAAGTTGAAGAACATGTCACCATGAGAAGCGAATTGGGCAGTTTTTGGCCGCTCCATGTAGCTGGTCTGCCACCGGACTAGTGTCCGAGACAACCGAAGGCCAAATCCGAGGAGGTAAGTAGATCATTTGAGATGAGAGGACCAGAGACGCGAGAGCATTGTTTCCAACAAACAAGGAAACATTATTCACCCATAGGCTGCTATTTACTGTATTTTGTTCTGTAAAAGGAAAAGGTAACGAATGA